CCCCGCGAGCACCTCCCCGCCCGCGCGCGCCGCTTTCGCGCCTTCCGAGCGTTCGAAATCGCCCTCCGCGGCCCCCTCCCGCGCGGCGCCCAGACAATGGGCCCGGGCCCCGCTCTTCCTCCCCGGCGGGCTGACGTATCTTATAAAAATAGCTCCAGGCTCCCGGAACCCTCAGCCTCGGAGCCGGGGCCGCACAGCCTGCCTGCGGGAGCGGGTTCGGGGGCCGAGGGGGTGGGGGGGTCCCGTTCGGCAGGCGCTGGCGCGGCCCGGAATCCTGAGTCCAGAGAGGGGCGGGCAAGGGCCGCTTCTTCCCGGGCGGGGGTGGGGGCCGGGGAGCGCCCAGCGTGGGCGTGAAAGTGCCCCGCCGGGGAAGGCGGCCGTGGGGTCGGGTCCCCAGGACAGGGGAAAGGAAGGCACAGGCCACAGTGAGCCGCCAGTCTGCACCCCGCGCCTGACCCAGCCCTGGCGCATCCCACTCTGGCGCCCTTGGCAGTGCCGGGGACCCTGGCCCTCCACGATGCCCTGACAGGCTTTCCTGCCCGACCTCCGGCTCCAGGGCCGAGCTTGGAGCTCAGGCCTGTGCCCAGGGAGCGCTGGGGGGAGGCCCAGCTTTTGTAGCCTTGTGGTGGCTGCAGTGAAGAAGAAGGGGTCGGGCATTTGCATCCTAGGCCATAAGCCTTCCTACCCCAAATAACTTAGACAACTCACCTTTCCCAGGCAGCCCCCCTGGCCTAATTTTGTTTACACCAGCAATGCTGACGTCCCCAGCAAGCCTTGTCATCGGCAAGCGCTGTCTGCCACTCTGCTTTGAGGCCTGAGAACCACCTGCTCACAGGTGAACCACTCCTTCATCTGGGGCTCCAGACACACTTGGGCGCTGAAACAAAATGTGTCCGGAGCCTGGAGTAGGTGGCACCGTGGGTTACAAACACCAGTGCCCCTTCCCCGGTTTCTCGTTCCCCTCACTCCAATTCGGTGGTTTTATTCTGGTTTGGAAACACATAACAAATGCACATCCTCTGGGCGCGGAGGAAGCCGAGAGTGCATTACGGGCGACGAAGAGACCAGGGGCAGAGCTGCTCTGCAGAGGCGGCCAGTGGCTGGATGGCCCATATTATCTTTCCAACTCCAGCTTATTAGGCAGAAAAGACAGGAATGGGGCCAAGAGGGACACGGTGAAAATGATCACATTTATGAATAAAAACCCAAATTTCATTTTATTTTTTAAGATTCTATTTTTAAGTTATCTCTACACCCAATGTGGGGCTCGAACTTACAACCCAGACATCAAGAGTTGCATGCTCCTCCGACTGAACCAGCCAGCCACTCCGAAACCAAAATTTTCCAGAACTGCTTTTCTTTACTACCTTCCTTTCACAGGCTATGATAAAATACACGAGTTTGCTGGTACCGAAACACGTGAGAAGACCACATCAGAAGAAGGCAGGACAAGCCATCCCATCTTTGGGATTCCCGTGGTGGCGGCAGCCATCGAGGTCATGGGCCATCCAGAGTGGGTCCAGGGATTGGACATGGAATGTCAGGCTGGAAATGACCTTGCAGGTGCAGATGGGGAAAGCAAGGCCTCGGTGCCTGGGACTTTGTCAAGGTGGAGCCTAGATGTAGATACCTGCTCCAAGCCCAATGGTATTCATGCCCAGGGCCAAAGGCCTGCCTGTTCTCCCTCACTCCACACTCCATCCACATGCTATTTTAACGGGGAATGAAGTTGTAAGCAACCTGAATCCAGTTGTAAAAGACAGAAATTCAACTCACATTGGGTTGGACAAAATGGAAATACATTCACTGACATAATTGAAAAGTTGATGATTAGGCTTGTCTTCAGGTATGGCTAGATCCAGGAGCTCAAAAGAAGTCTTAAACCAGGCCTTCCTCCATCTCTCCTCTGTTTTTCTCTGTATTGATTCTTTTTCCTACTGACACCCCTGGACTCACATCCTTGGTTTAGATCCTAGAAGAAAGAAAGGTGTATCTCTCCCAGGAACTGCAACAAAAGCCTGGGAAACACATTCTTTTGGCCCGTTTAGCTCACTCTGGAGTCAAGACTGCTGTCTAGGAGGTTGGAGCACACCGATAGATGTGGCCCAGGGGCTCGAAGTGGGGAGGGGTGGTTCTCAAAGAATAATCAGGCATCTGTTCCCAAAAGGGCAAATACTGGTGAGTAAGCAAAAGTAACAGACATCAGTGTAGTTTATAATGATGTCATTTGGTTTTTGGGAACCCTGGGAAGACAGGATTTTGTGCTTTGGGGAGTGATTTTCTTGGCTCTCTTCAAGGTCTGCTCCGTAGATTGTTTCTTCTCTCTCCTTGCTCTCTGCCCGAGGCAGAGGCTGGGGGCCGGCCCGAGACAGGACTTTGATTAGTAGCCTGGGACCTGGGCATTTGGAAACCCTTTGGATCCAGCTTCCACAAATGCTCTTAATGTAGGACTCCTTTCTGTTACTTGCATCTACCCCCAGTCAGGTCTTGCTTTGATGTTAAGGGTAGCAGGAAGGAAACGTCTTAGTGAAACATTTGATGTGTCTTCCTGATGCTGCACTAATTACTGCCCAGAGTGGGTTTGACTGCAGCCCCCACCGCTCGCACCCCATGGTGGGGTTTAGCCATAAAGGGCTGTCTGTTGTCCAGTAGAAAAAGCAGATTAATAGACACGAACAGAGCCTTCTAGAACAGAGCCATTAAACAGCAACCCACCGTCACGGAATAGCAGCCATTCTACATTCTAATTTCACTCACCAGGTGATAAGTTGATTTTACAGTTGATAATTTAACTTCTAACACATAAAAATGTCATTCAGCTGGATCAACTAGTGACTTTCTTTTAAATACGGATTTAAGTTGAAAAACACTGAAATTATGTAAAGGGAAGTAATGTTTACTACTGTGTCAGAAATGCAAGGCCCACATTGAGTCTCTTTCTACATGCGCGTACCATCACGGCTAGTGGCGTGGCGGGACTGGGCTGGGCGCTCTGCATTTCCCTGCACATTCTAGCCATAGGCCGACCCCTCGTTCGCTGTTCTCAAGCTCCTCATCTCTACACTGTGTCTTACACAATAACATATGCAATAAATAACATACGCAATAAATATTTAAATAAGAAACAAAAAAATAATACACTTTAAAGCGTTTGGCACAGCGCCCGGCACATAGTACGTGCTCGGTAAATGTCAGCTTTGCTAACTGTAAAGCCACTGGTTTTATAACGTACGTAGTCATTTGAATAGTGACAACTGCCCGAGGGGCAAGGACTCCACTGGGTGGAAAACACTGGCAGCACACTGCCGCTTTCTTCACCCTCATGAATCAGAAGAAGACGTTTCTCGAAAAGCAGCGTGCACTTGGGTCTTGCCTGACGTTTCAGCTCCTCCCCCTTCCCTGCTGCATCAAGATGACTTTACACCCAGAAAAGGACTCAGTTAGGTCAAGTAAACAGAATACCGTAACTTAGCAGTCATTGTATCCTAAAATATTTGTTTTTCCCTTAAGGGTTTAGAAATGAAGTGTGCCACCTATTAAAATAACTTTTAAGCGAATCTGGTGAGTGGAGCAATGAATAGATCGCATCATTATGTTTGCTTACGTAAGAGTACTAGCATGGCCTGTAAAGGCAAGCGTCCTATCCACCGTTGAATATGTTTAAGGATAAATATCAGAACGTGGGCACGTGTGCCTGCATGCCCACGTATAATATGCGTGATTATTTGAGTTTTCCGATTGGATCCCTGGGCTCAGGTGCCCTACCCCCCATGCTTAGCTGCTATAGTACAGGAGCGCCCTCTACCGAGCTTTTCGTGTAATAGCTGAAGCCCTCTCCAGAGGCAAATTTGCCTAGTGCCTAGGAAATGTCCAATCCGTATTTATTGAACCAGTGAATACATAAGTGACTCCCTAACCTGGTTCTCTATCTGGAGCTGTGGGACTAGATCTGTTAGGGCCCCACTTCTTAAACTGAGAAAAGTGCCTCTGCTTAGGGCTCAGAGCTTGAGGACTCCGATTCTCAGGTGTGGGCTTGGGTCTTGTCTGGGAGACCAGTGCAGAACAAAAGGGGTGGTCGGGCGGGAGACTGGGACAGAGCAGAGCAGGAAGGGATACATGGCCAGGAAAGCTGTTCAAAGAATAAACTGATGGAAGAGAGAGGAAATCGGCAGCCAGGAAACCCAGCTGAGACTAGAGAGTGGAAAAAATCAATTTTTACATCTAATTCAGTGGGCAGGTACGGGCAGCCGTAAATGGAGAGGGGGCCTGGAGTCCAGCACAAAGGAGGTCGGTTGGACAGGGAAAGGAGAAGGCCTGAATCAGCGGAAGCTAGGTGGTCCAGGACTGAAGTTCTTTGTCTGGTGGGAGGGTCTCCTTCACAAAGATCCCCACCCACACTCCCAGAAGTCCTGGGGAGTGGCAGCCCGGGAAGATCTTATCCCTGGAGCTTCTGGCCTCAGGCTACACATGGAAATGACTATAAGACATTGACTCCAAGGGGAGTTTTGTGGATGGGGCCGTAGATTTAGGTGGAGACAAGTGTGAATCTGTGATGCCCTAGCCTTTCGCCTCATTCAAGTGATCCATAGCCTGGAACTATGAAGGATCTACTACTCTGTTGTCCATTCCAATTCATGATATTATGAAAACAAAATATAGTTCAGAATGCCTTATTTTTTATTGCTGTGAAGCAACAAGACTGAAATGATTCAGGTTCTCTTTTTCCAACAACCATGACTATGAGCATTTAAAAAATATTTTATTTTATTTATTTATTTGAGAGAGAGCTCATGTGCACAAGCAGGGGGAGGGGCAGAGGGAGAGGCAGAGGGAGAAGCAGGCAATCTGCTGAGCAGGGAGCCCTGAGCCGAAGGCAGATGCTTAACAGACTGAGCCACCAAGTCGCCCCTACTATGAGCATTTTATTATTTTCTCTGTTTTGGCAGAAAATAGCTAAAAGAGGTTTTTTTTTTTTTTTCACATTTAAGCCTTCATTATCAATTATCAATCTCTATTACATGCCTGAGATAGGTATGAAAATTTAGAAGTCCTAATCTTTCCTATCAATATTATTTTTAGATAAGAGTCTTTTTTTATTTTTATTTTTATTTTTTTTTAATTTTATTGTGTTATGTTAGTCACCATACAATACATCATTGGTTTTTTTTTTTTTTTTTAAGATTTTATTTTTAAGTTATCTTCTTTGTGTGATAATGACCTACACATGGACAGTGTCCAAACCCTCTGGAAGATGTCTGATTCCAGGCTGAAAAGCAGTTCTCAATCGAACTGGTCTTCCGTAGCCACCATAAAGCACCAGGAAAGGGGCATCTTCGT